TACTGTATTAAATTGTTGTGCTTGCATCTACAATGATGACACTGAAATTCTTGTGTACTAGTAAGTAGGCTACTAACTTGCAAAATGTTCGCCGGATTCACATAAAATTCACACAACAGCTTAGATATTAAATATTTTACAATAGATTAAAATTTCTGCATGATTCTTGCTATAGCTACTATATCAGACAGATTGGATCAGACAGATTGGATTGAAATCTCACGTTTCCACACTACCACCTCACCTATACCTCTCATTTCCACTTCATTCCTCGCTCATATCAAAGAGGACGATATCCACATACTTCTCAAAAGACAAAACATGAGGAAAGCTGCAGGGCCTGAAAAGGTGACAAAATGGTAAGATTTTGTTCTGCTTGTCCTTAAAGTCTGTGATATCTTGTTTATTTTTACCTGGATTCAACACTTAGTTTTGAGTATAATATCAATAATGAAACCAGACAGAGCAGTTCAAGCACTTCTAAGTTGCTTCAGATTTATGAATGTATTTATTTAGCGGTTGTAAGTGTGTTCCTGTAGCTCAAACAGTAGAGCATTGTGTTAACAACAGCAACATCATGGCTTTGAATCCCAGGGATTGCATTAAGTGAGAAAAATTGTGTGTTTCAATTGTATTGCAAGATTTGAGGTGATTTGCAAAATAGTGCACTTGAATTGGACTGCAAAATGTATAAATGTTACCATTGTGGAATGTGTGGGAGGGGTTTTTAGATGTTACATGTTAGCGCTCATTCCTAAAAAAAACATGTTTAACATCAGTATTGTAAGAAAGAACATATACATGTGTACTTGGTACTCCTATACTTTAAGGCCAGACATTACAGGCAAAGTGTGTTTTTTTGAGATTTTGCTTCCATAACTAGCCTCTAGAAGATGCAGTGAACATGGGCCTCTCTCTCTGTTACACCTGGACTACCTTGGCGCATACATCAGAATGCTGTTTGTGAAATTTAGCTCTGACAGAAGTAAATATAACACCATCTTTGTGCCAGTGGATCACAAACACCTGGGCTACAACCTGTCAAGCCCCATAACTGTGAGCACTGGAGTGCCTCAGGGTTGCTCTTTCTGCCTCTTGAAAATGAGCCCACCTCTTCTTGGAAATAGGTGTAACAGCTGCAGGTATGATTGAGTCACTCAAGTTCTTTGGGACCACCATAACCATCCTTTACCACAGCACATAGCACATTAACATAATGGAAAAAGAAGGCCACAAGTGAGCAATCTTGTAAACCAGTAAGATCATGGTCCAATTCTGAAAAAAACATCACTGAGTGAGTCTCCTCCGAACCATCACAGTCGGATTTTACTCTTCCCTTGTCTCTTTTATGGGAATTCTGCCACATATTGTCTGGTGAGAAGAACATATATATATATATATATATATATATATATACTGTATATATATATATAAAAAACAAGGACTGGGAATTAGACCAATCATCCCAGAAACACACATTGCATATTCATTTCCTACCTCAATCAAACTCTAGCAATCATATTGTGATTCTGAATCAACTATTTCACCACTCAATTTTAAACTTCAATGCAACATGAATGTTTCTGAAAGAGACTTGATAGCCTCAAGCATTCAGTATGCACATTTGGTCAGTGATATTTAAAACTCATTATAACATTTTAGAAATAGTACAGAATCATAAAAATAGCTGAGTGACATTTCATTGGGTTTTTACACTGAAAAATGTAAAACATTGTCATTCATTAGTAAGAACAGAAAACACTAATTGTACAAAGCAATTTCAAGGTTAATTACTTCCAGTGCTATTATCTAGCAAATAGATCATTTACAATTACATTTACCATATTTCACTCAGGTGTTGCATTTCTCTTACCAGAAGAACTTTATTTATGCATTTTATTCTTCAGTCTGTTTTGCTCTGAGTTCATTTGTATAGGCTAGAAAAACATTGCACCCTAATGCATCCCCAAAATTTTAATTAATTTTAATATATACAGTCAAAACTTTGGATTGCTGGATTGCTGAAACCCAAAAGTTTTTATTAGGAATGCACTGAGTGGATCCCAAATGTATCTCTTATTGGAGATGACTAGAGTCAAACAGGAAAGGGTCGTGCTGGTGGTGGGACGTTTGGGAGCACTCAGGGCTTCACTACTAACTGGGCTGCTATTCATTATGATCAAGAATTTAAAGACTGAGTATAATTATCTATGTTTGCTTTTGGCTTTCCCACTATACCGAACCTGCAAATAAAAAGAGACTAGATGAATTAAACTAGTGGGGCTAAACAATTATTTAAATATTATTTCAATAATTACATTGGAGGACCTGATTAACAATTAGATTTTTCATTTTTACAGTGACAATGCATCACCTGTGCACAGACCGCAGCTCTGCACACTCTCTTCCACATTCTCTCAACAACTTCATAAGGTGCAGCCTGCTGTGCTTTTTAAATAGTACTGAAGGTGTTCTTATGCATGCTGTGTTTTTGTTGGCAGCTTTTCTTTTACTTTATATATGTCTGTGGTGCTTTTGTTAGTGTTGGAGCTTGATACTCAAAATCAGTATCCACTTTTATTGTATAGAAAAGAGCAGCTCGCAGGCCTACAGCTAAAAGTCTGAAAGAGTAGCCTACTTACTATATTATGTCATAGCACCAGCATTCATTGAGGGTGATTTTTTGAATGATCCTCCCACATCTTTTCCAATTTTCTATATATTGAACTTGTGTAAGTTTAATATTCATTGCCATGTTGCTTTTGCACTTATTATGAGGCATCTATTCATGGATGAATCTATTAATTTGTCTTTAGACAAAAGTCTGTTACCTTCACCTAACCTTTGTGGTTTTGCTTAAAGTGAAAAAGTTTTCTGCATTCAGTCTTTTGACATCAGGCCTTATTTTTCATTATTTATTTATTTTAATATTATATTTATTATATTCCATTATCACATTTACTTCTTTATTTTTATTTTTAATTTTTTATCTGTTTTTGTCCCTTCACATTTACCTATAACTAACCGCAAGCCAATGTATATAATAATTAGGATTTCACATATCCTACCGGAATCTAAAAAGCTCACAATACAGTAAAGTTAAAAATTAATTATATTATTGTTTATTATTGGAATAAGGTTCAAGTACTCCTTTTAATGCGAGTTAAATATTATATTATAAAAGTATTTGAGCAGTTATGACAGTGCTCTTACCAAGCTTAGGAGAGCAGAGCACAGTGCAATAATTGGAAAATTGCTTGCCTTACCCAAGGCCTCCTGATAGTCTAAGATTGAAAATGTCACTATATTTGAACCAGCTTCATGATATTTACGGAATTAAAACTGAAAGACTGAATGAAAGAGATGAGTGTTGGAGGTTGAGCAAAATTCTCCTGACCTTATGTTGAATTCCAGAAAGAGTGGTACCTATAAGCTTGATGTTGCTGTCATTGGACATAATTTAGGCTACTGTACTCTCAGTCGCTGTAAGGAAGCTGGAGTATTAAATGGCCTGAAGACTATTGATGCTGCAGACATTAAAAGCACTGGAATCTATTAAATGTCTCAAAATAATTTGTCTGCAGGTCATGATGGAATTACAGGTGAAATCATTCTCAGCTCTGTGACTTTTGGAGGCCAAAACAGAAAGTATTAAAATAACCACCCCCTTTCCATATTACTACCATACACATCACTGTTTACGGGTATTTAATTCATTTTGGAAAAATAGCATTCATAGCAGGCCACTGTTGTTGGTGAGTCAGTTTCTTGCACTGTGGTCACACAGTTTGATTCATACACATACGAATGAATACAGGCTGAAAACGAAAGTGTATGCAAAGATTTTGTTTGATCTCTAACCTGCAAATTTACATAGTGAAATTACATTTAACCAACAGAGCAACTAAATATCACGGCTTGACCTCATGGCTAAACTCAAAGAACACAAACTTTTAAAAGGTTTGCTGTGGGGTCCAAAGTAATTCTAAAGGCTCAAAGCCTGTCTGCATGCAGCTTTACTGTTAATGTAGACAGTTCCTGGGCAGAATAAGCTAAAATATTAAACAGACTTTATAGCTTTAGTCAAAATTCCATGCGAGACTAGGAAACCCCTGCTCTTACTGTAGTTGCAACTTCATGCTCTCTCTGTGTTGCTTTAAAATCTCAAGCTAACTAGCATTTTGCATAACAATAACAATTTAACATGTCAGAGTAATAGCTGCTATAAAATGCAGGAAACTGTTTAGGGATATTCTTCTTTTATTGAGTTCACTGAACACTCTTGCATCATTTTATTAAGGTTATTTGTGTGGGTGGAATGCTGCTTGTGTTAGCAGGTTCTTATAAAGAACTGGGTTATGAGAGCTCTAGTAATACATGAAAAGTATATACTTATGAAAAAAATATTGTTTTGTGAGTTGTGTACTTCAGCAGTATAGTAGCTGAATAAATGCAGCCTACAAACAAGCGAGTCACTGAGTGTCTGCGCGCCGTACTGTAGGTTATCTGTATCGTGACACCTTAAAATAATGTGAGAACAAGTGTAAAGTTCCTCAGACGTTTTTCTAGATGAAGCCAAGTTAATGACAAATACAAACATGTTTGTGCTCTTTGACCCAACGACATAGTCATCTTTATGACAAGTAAAGATATTTATTAGGCTAATTAAACTTCCGAGGAGCTCTACTATTATAACACTGCACCGATCATGACCAAATCACCGGGCCGTTTTAAGCGCTTGCGGGTGGAAAATTTACGCATTGAGCGTGTGTCAGTGTTCCAGCTTCTTGCCAGGAAAGAATACGCGCCAGTGTAGTACGATGTGCGTTTGCATTTCTCAGCCTACCGGAGAACTTCACAAATGAGCCAAAGATTTGTCAGCGCGCGCTAACTTGAGAAAATTAGAAGCCAAACTGGGGAATAATTGTTCTGTGCTTCTGAACGGATTTAGCCTATGTGTTTTGTTTCGATCGGATTTATCGAATCCTTGTAGTCTAAACATGGGGTTATCCCGAAATGAAACGGAAATTTGGACAGAGGAACATATGGACACGAACCACACGACCGACACTTTCGGTCCGGAGGTAGTGATTGTGCCCGTCATATTTGGATGTATTTTTTTATTGGGAATCATTGGAAACACTCTAGTGATGATTGTCATTGGGAAAATAAAGTCGAGGCGCTCGAGAAGTACAACCAACATTTTCATCCTAAATCTCAGTATAGCAGATTTATCTTTCCTCCTGTTTTGCGTCCCGTTTCAGGCCACCATATACTCACTCCCCGAGTGGATCTTCGGGGCTTTTCTTTGTAAATTTGTGCACTATTTTGTCATGGTCAGCATGCTGGTGAGCATTTTCACGCTTGTGGCCATGTCGGTGGACAGGTACATTGCCGTGGTGCTCTCCAAAAAGTCCCCGTGTATTCGTAACCGGAGGAATGCGCTCATTGGCGTCTGTGTCATTTGGATGCTTTCCTTCATCTTTGCAGTCCCGGTTGCGCAGCACCAAATTTTGATGAATCACCCCAAGGCTCCCAATAGCACGTTCTGCTGGGAGTTTTGGACCGAAAGGGTGGCCAAGCACACTTATAAAGTGACCATTCTTGTGACAGGGTATCTGTTACCGCTGGTTTTGATCACATGCTGTTATGCCAAGGTAAGCATCGACATTAAGGCAAGCTACTTGTAGAACATTTATATGCAGAGTACAATTCGTTTAATTTTGTACCTGCTGATTAATCGTTTAAAGTGAAAATGTGAGGATGAGAAGGTTTTTATGAGCGTTTACGAAATTATTACATGGTTTTAAAATGCAAGCTCTTTTTAAGTTTCTTTACTCCAAAATGACTTGCAGCGTTCGCTTCCTCGTGTCCACATGATTATCGCAATGAGTGTAATAATCCACTGTGATCAAAATAACTGTGGTCATAGCACTCGAACTTTTAGAGAGCATTCGTGTTTTATTTAAGTTAGCCTAGCACGTCAAGGATGCAACAGGTGGCCATGCGCCCACACGGAGAGTTAAGAATTCGTCCCGTCTGGATTCGGAGATTTGGGCAAAGTCGCCTAAAGCTCACAGAAACGTCACTGAGCATTTAGTAATCTTTTAAGACTCATCATAATCAATTAAAGCCTGCTCCTCGGTTTGCTTCTAGCAAAACAGTATTTGTGAGCCCGGTCTCATGAAAATGCGTATAAATAGTACGCCAGATAAAAACGAAAACTCGTGGTATTGATACGCAAAAATGGACTTTGGCGTGCATATGATACGCATGTGTTTGGCGTGCATATAATACGCAGTTTTCGCGTGCATATGATACGAAATTTGTTGGCGTGCATATGATACGCTATTTTCGCGTGCATATGATACGCATCTAACCCACGACCCTTCTTAACCTACCCATCGCGTAGCATATACACGCCAAAGTCCATTTTTGCGTATCAATACCACGAGTTTTCGTTTTTATTTGGCGTACTAATTATACTCACTTTCATGAGACCGGGCTCACAAATACTGTTTTGTATTTATCATTATACAGCTGGATAAAACAAAAACTGTGTCCGTATTCATTTCAGGCTGCAAAGCAACAAAATGTGATTATTTTAAAGTAATGTGGTTCTTTTCTATAGCCACCGTAAATATTTAACAAAAAATACATGTATGGCATTTAACTCTCTTAATGCACATTTTATCAATTGAATAACATAGTATATTTGACTGTCCCACATTACTCAAAATATCTTCAAATAGAAAATATTCTTAATAGATTTTAACAATATTACTGCAAAATTTGATGTACAAATACATCATAAATATAATTTGATAACAATTTAGAACATTGTTTAATTTATAACAGATTTATATCCTTAACATTAATTTTGTCTAAATCCTATGTCACTGAACTTTGTGAACTTCACAAGAGGTACTTCCTGTTTGATGATTTTCATAGCCACATTTATGACATAATTTCCAGAAAGTCAAGTGATTTCAATAACTTGACACACCTGCTTGAATTTAACACCAATCATGTTCACTTTGACGTTGTAAAAGAATAGATAAATGCACTGAAGCTTAGGTGTCCCACATTAGTCAGTGTCCCACATTACACTAATCCACCCTACATATAATATTGGTATACACGTTTCTAAATTCAATAGCATTTGAAGAGAATGAATTAGTCAGATGGATAAAACAAATAATGTATATAATATACCTCCTACAGAACTGTTAGATATGCTATAGCATAACTGATAGTTTGAGAGAATTAATGAATAAAAATAAAACATTAATAAATAAACCATTCATCCTATGCCAATTTGCGTTTACAAATGATTTTATATCTTATTTTAATAAATATCACAAATCTAAAAGGTGTGCATTATAGCTGACACCTAGATGAACACATTACAGTTTGTTTTATGTCTGTAAGTTATTCTCTTAAAATGTTATTGAGCTTTAAATTGTGGCATATTTTGTGCATGAGCCCAATTACAGTAGTGAAAATAGCAATTTTGCAGATTATTTGATTCAATTCAATTCCATTCAGTTCAAGTTTATTTGTATAGCGCTTTTCACGATACAAATCGTTGCAAAGCAACTTTACAGCATATTAAGTTTCTACAATATTTAGTGGTAGCTTATCAGTGGTGACTGTCAGTTAATGTACATATGGCAGAAATGTACGGAAAAATCAATTAAAGACGTAATTAAACAAACGATGAACACTATTAACAGCAATTATTATATGATGCAATCAAACTTATAGCAAAATGTGGTAGTTCTGTATGTGGTTTCAGGGTTGGCATCATCTGAGGTCCTCTGAGGGGTTGGCATCATCTCTTCTCAGGTGTTCTGGATCCAGACTGAAGCTTGTGTAAATCTTAGTTACCACGGGATGTCAAAAAACTGAGAAACAAATAGAGACATAATTAGCGTAGCTGCTGTTCCAACCAAGCAAAATTGATTTGTTTAACCCAAGCTAACGAATAATAATATGCAGTTGATCAGTACTTGAACTGCAGGAGAAGATTATGAGATGCATTTAATTTGACAGTTAATTTGAACAAATATCAAAAATCTACAAAGGCATGTATTATGGCCAGTGGTGGACGAAGTACACAAATCAAGTACTTGAGTAAAAGTACAGATCCGTATAATAAAATATTACTCCAGTAAAAGTACTCAGTTTTCAATTTTACTCGAGTGAAAGTACAAAAGTACTTTATTTTTTATGTATTTAAGTAAAAAGTACCAATAGACGAATGTTTATTTTGCAGTTTTATATAGGCTACTTTTATCATTTAATTTTATATTAGCATATATATTTTTTTTATAATCCTACTGCTCAAAATACCTGGGATTTTCCCAAAATAACCAATAAGGAAATAATTAATATAATAATAAGGAAAATATACTTATATGTATATATAGTTTAATAATAGTTTTTAAGAAAAAAGGCTTTTGCATATTTTTTATGATTTTTTAATGAAAAATATTCAATAACTTCACTGTAACACACTTCCACCAAATTCATTTCACACATCAGTGCTCTCCTGCTGGTTATACTGCAACACTTATTTAGAAGAAAAAGGCTTTTTCATCATTTTTTATGATTATAAATCAAAACAAAACTCTAGCCACACTTTGCCATCACTCATTGCTTCTTTCATCCCTGTTGTATTTAATATGTAACCTAGGGGTGGGTGATATGGCAAAGATATCATATCCCAATTTTTTTTTTTCAGGAAAATCACTATTTATGATTTTCAAGATTCTTTGTCATGTTGGTTTTACTATTTTGCAAGTTGTCTGAGAAGTACATCCAAACTAATTTCCCTATTTTAAAAACAAAGCTTTACAAGGTAACAAAATATCAAATAAAACGAATGGCAGACATTTAGGCCAAAATGGGCGAAGATAATAATTTTATACATTATTTTATTGTCATTGTTATTAAAAAATAAGAACAAAGATACACATTAAAAATACACATAATATACAAATAAAACAAATAGTGCTTTATTTTTCAGCTAAAGTATGTGTATTTAGCAGTAGCATTCAAGAAATTGAATGAACAAATATAAAAATAAAACACTACATACACTTCACTGTATAAATTATACATTATTTTGTATCAAAGCAACTGTATTAAAGTTCTTCGGTCAAGAGCAGTGAGTGATTTTGCTCTTTGTGTATTGTTTTATTAACATTAAAGGGATATTTCACTTAATGTAACCTCTTGTTTAATGGTGGATGAGTAATGGAATACACATTTAGGCATTAATGTGTCATCTTCTTTGAATTTCAGGTATTGTATCATCTTCATAAAAAAATGAAAAATATGTCCAAGAAGTCTGAACGTTCAAAGCGAAAGGTAAGAGAATAGATTTTTATATATATATGTGTGTGTGTGTGTGTGTGTGTGTGTGTGTGTGTGTGTGTGTTGTTTTTCTTGTTTTGGTGACTTTATTCATAGTATTTTCTGTAAAACTAGATTTTGTATGATTTTACCAGATGCGATGGCATGCTGGAGTGAAATTACCTTTAACCACGCTTAAAAATCTAAATGGATTTTATTGCATGGATAAAAAAAATACCAAACCATGCTGGCACTTTTCACAAGATATATCTAACTGCAGAACAGCAGTCTGAGGACAGCAGCACCAGGCCAGCAGTGTTAGACCGGACGTTAGGGAGGTGCTGATGAGCGCGTATCCCGCCCCAACCACTAAGCCTACACTTTACTATAACTATAAACGGGGCCGGATTTACCTCTTTTCGTGACATAGGCAAAACAATTTTTTGGGCCCCCCTTCCCTATTAATATAATAGGCCTAACATTAGCTACCACCCAAGCAAACAAAAATATTTCTTAATCAGTGGAAACCGTTACAGTGTTTTCTATCGCAATAAGCGCTTGCATTCAATCAATAAAAATCGAATGTAGTTCTTAATTTGTTTGAGAACTGAGAAAGACCATTCCATTAATAGGCACAGCGTCATGGCCACATAACCACTTGAGGAGTGCATTATCTCTCTAATAATTTTAACGACCTGGAGTCACAACCACACATCAAGACATTGTTAAGATGATTTATTTCAAGACATTTGTCATGTTTCTCATGTGTGTTGAACTAATTTTTTACGCACCTCATAAACCTTCCATTGCAAATTCCAAAACGTCATTTTAGAGCTAATAACAGAGGCTTGAGCCATTGATATGCAGGCTAACGCAGTTATTAATGCAGTTTAACGCACTTAGAGAGAGAGAGAGAGATTAAGCGCGTGCAAATACCTGCGTCTGTGCATCTCTCAGCAGTGTTCAGCCGCAGCTCCTACTAATAGGAAATCTTTAAGTTAAACTGCTTCAAGAACCTCGCTACTGAGAAATCTCATGTAGCCTTTCAGCTGCGAAACTATTTTATTGATAAATTCGAGATAAATTCTGACAACAAGTTTCTGGTCACGTCTCTGCATGTGTGCGCGAGTGCGTGTGTGTGCGTCTATGAGAGAGAACGGGAGAAAGAAAATGTTATTTCCGTAGCCTCCATAAAAAAAGGTTGAAGACATGGAAATACTTTTGTCATTTTTTTACCCTGTTGTTTGTTATATTTATTTGCTCAATTTCTTCTGGGGTTTTGGTTCTTTTGTACTGTTGTAGATAGCTCATAGTTTAACAAAAATATGTACAATATGAAATATATCTCTTCATTGTGTTTGGGCCCCCCTGGACGAGCGAGCATAGGCACGTGCCTAGAATGCCTATGCGTAAATCCGGCCCTGACTATAAGCTCTACCCAAACGAATGCCCAATCGAACCACCAAACCTACCCTTAATGATGCTATAAGCCTCACCCCAATACCAGTCTGAGACTGCTGGCCTGGTGCTGCTGTCCTCAGACTGCGGTGACATATGTGACCCGTGCTGGCAAAATGAGTTGGAATGCGCACGGTCTAACATAGAGCTGCAGGCAAAAGAAGTGAAAAATGTCAGTTTTAGTCGAATTTGAGGTTTTCACAAAAATGAGTTAATTAAGCCCTCTTCTAGTGATCCCAATGCTTCAAATAGTAAATAAACATCTAAAATTATCTTTATTTGTACGTTTTCTGAGAGGAGTACCTTTTTCTCTGCTCACTTCTGGATGACTGCTGCTGCTTCTCACCACAAGTTGTAGGATATATCGTTGCAAAGCGCAACATTCCAGCTTTATGAATATTCATAGCGAATTCTGTATGACATGAATCTGAACCAGTAAAATATGATTTCCAAACCCATGCTGATGAAAGCAAAACGATCGCACTGACTGACATTTGCAAAGCGCGTGCATAAGACGTGCCTCTCCGAGAGCGTGCGATCTCATAAAGTACATTATTGCGAAATAGCCTATGTCTTGGCGAGATTCACACAAACATGATCTGTTATGTCTTACATGAACGTTTAGTTAATGGTTGGGGGAAAATCTGATGTGTAACATTATATTAGATCCATCCATTACAGTAGGTCACAATATTGTCAATATTGACAATATTGTCAATATCATCTGTCTTGATGTTAATCAAACATTAAAAGAAAAGACGGAATCATTCGGTGCTCTTGATTAAACTACAGTTTATTTGCATCTTTGTTCTTATTTTTAATAACAAAGATAAAATAAAAAAACAGCTATATTGTGATTAATAATATAGTAATTATTATTAAGAAAAGAATTGGAGGAAAATATACAAGGTTGCTCTGTGATTTTGCTTTGGAACCTTCAGAAAACCGTAACTCGATTTTTCTCAAAATTGACTTTGCTGACTCTATCACCTTCAAACGGCTGTAGCTCAGTCATTGTTTGTCCAATTCCAACAAGTTATATATCATTTTGAAGGTATTTTAATGTAGAATGTGAAAATGAAAAATGAGAACTCGTTTTTGAAAAATCGCTCATTCCAATTCTTCCAATTGGAGATAAGGTTAGAAAGCATAAAGCTTGTGAATGCTAGTCTGTCAGTCAAGTCCAAAGCAAGACGCAACCCATAGCAATGTGTTATGACAACAACGTCTCAGATTATCTGACGGCAGATAAAAGTAAACAGTAAATAAATTACAGTTGGCAAACCTACTGGAAGGTGCATGCCACAACCTACTGCACAACGTCGGGATGACAGCTGATGTAAAATAAGGATCGGGCTTAGGATATCAGATATCGATCAGTTAAAAAAATGGTTAATCGGCCACCAATCGCTATCCTTCAGATGCCTAATAATGATTTGAAAAGCTGGATCTATTGTTTTATCATTTGAAACAAGATGTACAGTCAAAGCATTTTGTGACATGTTTTGCTTGTGCTATCTTTTCTTTCCAATAAGTGCCATTTAGTTTGATATTTTTTATTTATTGCAGTGACATTCATGTATTGTTAAGTGTGACTTAACTGCCTAAATACTGTATAGTGTGGTAAGCCTTCAATGACGATTCCTGGCTGATAATATTTAAACACTGTAAAAGTTCATTTTCATGTGTATCAGAAAGAAACATTTCAAATGCTTCAAGAGCCTTAATAGTTCACAGCATTTCAGACATATTGACTTTCAAATCAGATATTTTAAATGCAAAAAATAATCAGTTTTAATTAAAGAGTGTATGTCAGAAACCATTGCATCTGTGGTTTTAGCGCCTCACTTAAGTAAATGGTCCATAATAGCCAATACGCTCCAGAGTGGTCTCTTGTAACCAATGGCAACCAAGGTACCCTTTTTGCACTGGACCTGGAGCAGTATGAGGGGTATGTTATGGGACGGCTGGAGTCAGAAAGGAATTCTAATGATGATTTTACTTGTTGTTGAAAGTAATAATCCTAACCCATGTTGGGATCTGGGGATCTCGCACACAAAATGCACTAGACCTGAAGACAGTCATTTTTATGCTGAGGTGAATTTGACCTTTAATGTGAGAAAGATTGGTGTTGGAGCACATCTGCAAACCTGAGATCTGTATCTATAGCAACAAGTCACTAAACTTGGATTCTTTCATAGCAGTTGATGTAGTAATTCATGGGTATTATGGGGAAAATGTTGTTTCGGAACACGGATTTCATGGCAGTCAATTATACAGATCTCATAAAAGATGAAAAGGAAAAGGACTGTCTTGCATCATCCATTATAAGTAAAAAATGGTCAGTCTGATGAACTGAAACGATGACACAACAGAGCTACTGTATGTTAGTTTGTGGAAAATGCAGCAAGAGAGTCCAAGAACTTGTTGAACATAACTCTCATATTGTATTTATTTATATTTTCTGGGATGGGCTTAAAAAATTCCATGAGTGAATCAAAATATTTAAATTGGAATTTTTCAAGCTTGATTACTTTAGTAATAATGGGACAGAAAGCACAGAAAACAGATGAGGTTCCAGTTAAAATCACATAAAATTCAAACTAAGTGCTGACATTTTTTTTCTAACACTGCAAATTTGACTGTACTACAGTCTATTTTGAATATTCAGCAAAAACTGTACTTCTATGAGGTTGCATTCAACAAAAATTTGTTGCTTGAGTTTACACTGGCAACTCAAACTGGACAGTAAATTTCTGTAGTTACCAGCATGCTCTGCAGTAGGCATGTGCCGATTACCGGTTTCAAGGTTTACCACGATTTGAAAATGTCACGGTTTCAAAACCACTCAAATTTTCTGTTATACCTTTCCTGCCGTATGTATGCGCTGTTTTTATGTCTGTTTTATGTCTGTTTTTTTATGGATGTTTTTTCCAAAGATGGAAAATGTCGGAATCCCTCAGGTTGAGTGCAGCGTAGAGACTAGCACAATCCCCTCCACCTCCTGTTGGTGCGAACAGTCAGTTACCTGCAACTTACGCGGTTTATACCGCAACTGCCGGTTTATGAATGGGCCACTGAATCATTGGTTCACACGATTTGTTCAAAACACGGATTCATTCAGAAACAAATCACCGCTGTTTAAGAGACGTATAACAGTTAATCCATAATCAAGATTTAACTCTGAGTTTAAAGTTATGGTGCAACAGGATTAAAGTTCATCTTAAATATAACTTAAATCCAGGATCAAAATGATGGGTTAAATGTAAACCTGCTTATTTTTGAACAAGGTTTAAAGTTTGGTACAACAGAATTATTAGATAAAACTTGATTTAATCTAGATTTAAAATTAATCCTTGCAAACCCAGGGAAGGGAAGGGAGCTGATAGGGCTGTTAACTCAGTAGGGAGTAGAGCTGGTGGTGCTGATGAAGTTCACCTGCTGATACAATTGATAAGAGGCATGCCAGGTTAAGAGTGAGCCCTCAAACCACAGTTGCATAGTGGCAAAATTTCAGCAAAAGCAGTCACTAGGTGCGACATTCCCTACCGCAATCAAGCTGTTTTGAGTTGGTAAGAGGGCAGCTGGCTTATTCCAACATGAGTTGTAGAGGATATTATAAGGCTCTCTAACAGAGCGGGAACAAAAGAGCTCTTCACACTCACCTTGGGGCTGGTCACATCTGACAGCAAAAGCACACTGAGGACTCAGCAGGGTTTCTTTTCTCAATTCCAATTTCAGAGGACTAGCGAACTTCAGAGGCTGTGCCCGCATTTTGATAAGGGTAATCTTCTCGAAAGAGAGTGGTTTGGAAGTTGACAGTTTCATCTTAGATGTGAGGATGCATATACAGTACAATATACACTTGACTGACATTTCATTATTGATATTATGGGGACACTATTTTTGGAGCGCTATGTGCTATGTCTGTAGGTTTGGAAATTTGGCAAAGACATGTTTCTTATGTTATGTTGCATAGAAAACATGGTGCTTGTCAGGACTAATTAGATGTAGTCTCTGTTAAATTATAGAGAATGTAAGTATAATTAAATCTCTATTCGCATTGTTCTACTGACACACCACATAATGGCTAGTATTATCTGTAATTGTCAGTAAAAATAATTTAGATTTAGCTCATCAAAATTGTGTAAGACATAGAGTGTGCAGTCATAGCCCACTTAACGCTGGTACAAAGAGTTTTATACATTAAAATTTGTACAAACTAGACAACAATGTCAAATACTGTTAGCTAAATAATTATGTAGATTTATGTGGAAAATGATGTGGATACATATTCTAAAAACAGCAAAGAGAATTAAATCTTTAAGAATTTCAGAGCAAAGGACAAATTATTTGGCAACTTGGTTCTCTCTCCATAATGAATTTCACAAAACAGAAGTATCTATTCAGTCTGTTAACATAACAGTCTGTTAACTGTTAATATATTATAAAATGCAATACAGGCTTTAAAATCTGATTGGATGAGCATACCTGTGACCACACATCAGTTGAGTTCTATATTAAAGTCAGCATGAAATGGAAATTGTGCCAACTTTTCTTGCTGCTTCTCTATTATATCCAAGTGAAATGTAGAGAAGGACTTAACCAGGAATTGTTTATCAGGAATTTTTTGGATAGGAGAAATTGACAGTCATATTGACTGTAGCTCCTGTGGCACCTGCTAACCTGCTCCTGCCATACATCTGCAGTGTTTCCCACAGACTTACAGTCTATGTGTGTGGTGGCACTTGAGGTATATTTTTCCATTAATGAAAACAAGGTAAAATTGGAGAAAAACATATGGATTTGCACATTTCTTTAGACAGAAGTATTATTTTTACAGGGCCGTCCTTAGGGCAGTGCAACTGGTGCAGTCCCACCGGGCCCCACGCTTGAGGGTCCCCCGCGATCGCACCAAGGGGGACCAAAGGAACACTATGATTCACAGACTGGCAACCCGGGAACGATCGCAAATGGACCGTGTGAAAGTTCTGTCACAAAACTATGTTGTTTCGTATCCTTGCGCTTTTTAAGTGGGTATACGGAAATCCTTGACCTTTCCTAGTGGGAATACGGCATATACCTGTGTATCACGTAGACTATACCACTGGCGTGAACTCCCTGTCAGAGAGAAGAGAGAGAGAAAGCACAGCTGGTAGTATCGGTGTATAGATGATGCGGAAAAAATACACAGAAGTACGCATATTGAAAAACACCCGTGTTGTAATTCGTTCGCTGTCATGTGAGAGCGACGTGCTGAGCCAGTCAACGCGTCAATTTCAGCTCCACACTGAAGTAAGATTTTACCCATTTTAAATAGTAAAATAAAAATTGAATGGGAAAAGCAAAATCTATCTGTGGTTGTCAATGTTGATATTGTGGCTGGCCGCCACAAATACCGATCTGTCTGTCTCAGCTGAACCTTTGACCTGAGGGTGTTTTGAACTGCTCCTATGTCAACTTCCAAATTACAGTTACTTGTCAGTACTTTATCATCTTGAAAAACGTTGATTATCCATGTTTCTGCACTAGACTGTTCTTTTTCTCTAGCTCTAGCTAGACTGAGGCAGTAGCTCAACATGAAAAACAGTGTAGGGTTCTGTCCTAGTGGAAATATAGGAGACTTTAGCACACATTGCCCCAGGCTGGCTTACTATTTGCAGCAGTTTGACTGTCTTGACTCTCCTTAGTTCATATTAGAGATTTCTGCTTTCTTCTTGTACTATATACCTCATTTTAAAGCACATACTATGCATTGTTGTTTAAACAACCTTTCCATTACCATCACACTATTCTAGTGTAGTTTCTAGTGTAGATGCAGTGTAGTTAATTTAGAATACTTCTCATTGAAGAGATAAACATGTTATTCAAAAATCTTACCTCCAGTGAATGTTGGTAGATACCTATTCCAAAGCTAATGAAAATGTGGACAGTGATAGGAATGAATGGGGATGACCATAGGAATGTAAATATAATTACTGTGTTTACATTTAAGATATACAGTGTATATACATTCACTGGCCACTTTCTTAGGTACACCTTGCTAATACCGGGTTGGACCCCATTATGCCTTCAGAACTGCCTTAATTCTTCATGGCAAAGATTCAACAAGGTGCTGAAAATTGTGGACTTATTTAGAAAAACAGCATATTATATTACATTTTAAATTTCTGCATATATTGGTTTAAAAAGTTTATCTGATATTCCACTAAGTGACAACAGTAGCAACAATAGACAAATCCAGTCTGCTTAAACAAATATCCGGCAAAAAATGTTATGCTGTATGTCTTTCCATTAAGCACACTGTGTAAAAAAATTAAAAGTACGGTGTGGAAAAAGTGTGGAAATGTCATCCTGCTCCTGCAGGGCCAACGTCCTGCAGAGTTTAGAGATTTGGACACCCCTGCCCTATAACTTCTCCAAAAACTGGAGTCAAGAGTCAAGTAGTCTGGAGTGCAGTCAATTGGAGGTGTTGGTCAGAGCTGCCTTGCTCTATAAAAGATTGAGTGTGCTGTTCACAAGAAGCATTGCCTTATGCAAACTATCCCTCAAATAAAAGAGATCTCAGAATATCTAAGATTGAAGGGATCATACACTCAACTTACTTTCTTAAATATGTTTAATTAAAAAATGTCTGTTTTTTGTTTGTTTGTTTTTTTTGTCCACATAGTGAATGGCAGTGGGGCAAAATGTTGTCTGGACCCCTACAAAGTTGACTTCAAGACTGCAGTTTAGAATACTCAGTAATGGTGTTTATGGGACACCACAGAGATACTGGTAAAAAAAAAAAAAAAAACGTTTTGCACATCCGAAGTTTGCAAAACCATGCCTGGTTGTTCCACAGTGGTACTGGAAAAATATCCTGTCGACAGATGAAACCAAGTTGAGTTGTTTGGGGAAAAACACACACACACACACAACACAGTGTGTGCCTCAAGGTCTGGACGGCTTGCTTTATCATCTGTGGAAAAATGAATTCCTAGGTTTATCAGGACATTTTTCAGGAGAATGTGCAGCCATCTGTTTAAAGCTCAACAGAAGTTGGGTGTATTTTAACAGAACAATATCCTAAAACTGCAGTAAGTACCAGTAGTAAATCAACAACAGAATATCTTTAACAAAAGAAAATACACCTTGTAGAGTGGCCCAGTCCTAATTTTGACTCTTATTGAGATGCTTTGCTATGAGAGAGTGATTTACACCAAATGTCCCAAGAATATTGCTGAACAAACTATTTTGTTTTGAAAGATGGTCCAAAATTCTCTCTGACCGTTGTGCAGGTCTGATTGTAGAAAATGTTTGGTGGTGTCATGTTTCTGAAGAAAGCAGAACCAGTTATTGAATCCAAGGTTCCCATTTTTTTCCATTTTCCATTGTACTGTGAATGTTTACACCATACGTTCAGTAATAACATGAACATATTTATTAAATGTTTATTTGTTTATGCCAGCTGTGTTTGTTTATTTTTGTGGTTATATTTTAAGATTAATTAGGTAGAAATCCAGTTAAACCCAGCTAGGGTTCACATACTTTTTCACATACCTTTTTCCTAACTGTAAAGCTAAGTTTCCACAGTTCATAACTGAGACTAATATATGTGCAGACAAATGCCATCATTAATTGATAAGGAGCTTGTCTAAGGTATTTTTAATTAATTCATAGGTATTCACTGCACCGTGTACAGCTTTGTAATGGAAATTAGGATCCATTCCCTCCTATGTGATTGCCATTTGTAACTGTTTTTAGGGTGTTGTCTCAAAAACCCTGGACAAATAAAATTATATGGTTAGTAACAATTAACTGAAGGCACATTGTATAGACAATAAAATTAACCGAAAATCAGCCATATCAGGCAGGGTTGCCAGGTTTAACAAGAAAACCCTCCCAATCGCTACTCAAAACTAGCCCAAAACTAACCCAATGGCGTTTCGAGGGGGTCTCCAGTTAAAAATCACATTCCGGGGGGTAAAATACAAGTTTTTTTGGCAGGGTTGCCCTGCTAAAATTTGCATTCCAGGGGATAAATATCATGTTATTGGAGTCGCTTCAACCAGCGATGAAAAACAACCCGCGGCAAGAGTGTTAAAGTAGCCCAATTCCGCAGACTTGGCAACACTGATATCAGGGCTCCAGACTGTGCTTAAAATGGTTGCATTTGCGAACAAAAATATTAATTTGCGAGTGATATTTTTGCTGAGATCTATATAAATTTACATGTTATGATTTAAAACATGTTATGATTTTTTGCATGTAATGCCTTTTTTCTGATTGTTTTGCAATCACATCTTTTGTTATGTTGACGTAATAAACTGAGATGATGTGCATCAAAGTTTTAGAGGAAAAACAGTCCTCGTCTCTGCCAAACACCAGCGTTGACGGCACACCTGCTAAAAGCAGCTCCAGTTGTGTTGTCGATGATTACCTTCAGCAAGTATGAAAACAGAAAAACAAAGCCAAAACCTGGATATTTCAGGCAATGTAGAAATCCTGGCCAGGACGTGTCCGGGAAAAATGGCATGTATGGTCACCCTAAATAAATAAATAAAACACGTTTATTCTGTGGCACTTAAAAAAATAATTTGGCACCTGATTTTGTTTCTTATAGGAGCCAATGGCTGCTTAATTGATTTTTTTGTCTGAAGCCCTGCATATGCTTATATTTTGACCATTTTAGTAACATGTGAATATAAAATCATAATAAGAATGCTGGCATAGTCCCTTCAACCTTACTTCTATTCCCACTATCGTAAATCATATTCCTGTATAGATATCTTTTTTTCAAATCTCCTGTGAATTATTATATTCCGGATTGTTGCATTGGACCTAGTGCCCTGTCTCACTATGCTGCTGTGGAATGGGAAATTAATTTGCATACAGAAAATATACAAGGGTTTGGTGGAGTGATGCTCTGTTGCAAGATGAGATCTCAGTTTATTATTATTATTATGCATTGATATGGCTGCCCTCTTTCTCCCTTTCCACCATTTACCTTGAACCCTTTGTGTGAGACTGTGCAATTTAACTTTTGAAATGGCTAAAATTTCCCAGCACCGGTGCGCAAAGGACATGGGTCTCTTTTGGGTAACAATAGAGAGGGATCTAACCTGGCCATTTGGTTCAAATTAAGTTCTTTCACACTGGCGGGAGAGCAGGTCAGTACTTGAAGTCCCATTATGTCTCTATCCAGGAAAGATTGGGTGCAGAATTCATAAAATTATAGGAATTTCACAATACCAACAGCACTACGCATCTCTTTGGCATGATACTAAACTTTCTGTTGGCTAAAAAAAGCAATATACTGGATTAGTGGAATTCATACCATTGGGCATGTATTTTGTGTATTTTTAACTTTCTCAAAAGATATAAGGGTAAAAGAAACTTCTGGTATTATCCTAAATGTTAGTTTTAGATTAAACACAAATGATGAGAATAATAAATTATCTATGCTATTCTGTGTTCTGCTGTGTCTGCCTGCTGTATGTCTCTGCCATGCATCATTGGCCTCAGTTTCACAAAGCAGCAGTGATTGTGAAATAGACAAGGGGACGGTGTCTGTTATGAGTAATAGTCAATATAAGATTCTGCACAGATTTTGTCTGACCCCTGTAAAGCTGGATATAATTGGCCTGTGTGAGGATTTATTGAAGGTGATGATTCTGTTGATTCTGCAAACAGAAAGGCATGGATTGACTTGGGATTTCCCGCATAGCAAGCATATTTTGAAAGCAATTTTTAGAGATTCTTGGCCCATTGTTGTATTCTTCCATTCTGTTGTCTCGTAAGCTCTGCATGCTGGGCTGTCTCTTGTCTCATGTGGTGAATCCTCTGTAATTATGGTGGGCATTATCACAGCAGCTAGTACAATCTGACTCCACTGGAAAATCTGTCCCAGATAAAAAAAAAAAAAGAGTTGCAAGATTCACATATACTCTTGTGAATGGTGCTATAACTTGGAACAATTTTCTGTTAAAAATTGCAAAACTATTCAATGTAACTCTTTTATTTTAATTACAAAAAGAATAGATTATTTTAATCTGGCCACCAGCACACCAGAATAATAAACCGATGGCAGGTGTCCATCAAACGTTCTATTAAAAT